TTAACAAAATTTAGCTGCAGCTGCTGCTATTAAATGCATGTTGGAATGTGTATATGCACGTAAGTATGTATGTATGTTATTTGAAAGAATTTTTGCTGAATTCCTTTGCAAATATAGTGCCTTCAATAAGACTCAAAGAACAGCCTAAAATAAGTCCGAATGTAGCAACTTATGAGGCCGATAAGAGCCTCGAAAGAGTCTGAAATGGTTCATATTTATATGAGGCCAAAAACTGTTTCAAAAGAGTCCAAAATGAGACGTATATGAGGCCAATAAGAATCCAATAAGACTCATATTTAGGCTCATATGATGTATGAATTTAAACTCATATCAGTCGACCTTCGGAGGAAGGGAAATACCCTCATATCGGACTCTTCAATGAGCCCATTATGAGCGTAAATTCTCTGAAATAGGACTCCTTAAACACTCAATTATTACTCAAAATGTTTGCTGGGATTTAAGTACATACCAATAATCCAAATTTCACCAAAAAATAATTACATCTACACAAAGTACAAAAACACGGCAACCTCCCAGTAGATAATCTCAGGAGATAAAAGCACTTCCGAAAGGCTTTCCTGAGAGTCAAGAGGCCTTCCACCCTACATTACTTTCTCTTTTCTTTTTTGTGTGGAGTGGCGCAAATTAAATGGCTTCTTTCGCTACCCATGGAAGGACTTACTTCAGAAGGCCTTTTATTAATTTATTTATTTAGTTCTTTTAAAGTTGCTTCTTCAATTTATAAAAATCGAACATCTTTGAAGTATTTGTTAAGGTTTATATTAAATATATGTTATTGCAACTTAAAATGTTTATTGGAACTCATTTGTAATTCGCGTAAATTTTAAATGGATATGCCCTTCTAGAAGGCATGCAAGGACTTTTTCAGCCCTTCTTGGGTAGGCCTCTTAGAATGGCTTTACTTAAAAATTCCTTATTTTGATTCGAAAAGTGAAGACCCCAACCCGCGGCCACTTATAGTTTTTAAGTAATTTGTTGTTAAAGTTGCGAAATTCACCAAATATGTTGATGCTAATTGCATCGATTTTATCATCCAAAAGAGCGTGAAATAGATAAATGTGACTTAAATGTAAGCACTTTTAATGCACATGACCATTTTCTTTTAAGTAATATGCTATTTTTGTTAATTTAACTACGATAAAACATTTATAAAAGCAGTGAAGTAGTAAACATGCGAGGGTTGCAACTGAACACCGAAGTTGGTGCTGCCAGACGATTTAAAGTTGAAAAGTAATATCGCAGCATTTTTGAGTCCACATTTTAAGTTTTATAAAATATTGGGTTTTATTACAAAACACATAGCGCCGCAGGCGAAAATTTTTAATAAAAAATTGCGCGATTTAATAGCGTGCAGACGAAAATTTGTAATAAAAAATCGCGCGATTTTTTTCCCAAATTTTCCCTTTTTAGGTTTTTTAATTTTTTTTTAAATAGCTAGAAAAAAACTAAAAATAGGAGTCGCAAGAGCTTTTTGAGCTGATTATAAACGTTACTAAAATTTACTTGCAGAAATTAAAATTAAGCGAGATATCGAAGGTCAAAGATCGAAATTTGCTTTTAGAAAAATGGCCAAAAATCACAATTTTTACTTGCGTTCACAGTATTTTTGCGTAGAATTCCTTTCTGCGTAGACGGCCTTCGGCCGCGCTTTAGGATTATAACCCTTACCAAATAGAATTCTCCGGTCGGTGTGCACCAACTGGGGCTACCGCCCCAGTGATGTAACCATGGGAAAGGATGAGGTAACTAGAATTCCCTTTCTGTGTGGTAAACCTGGGGCTGCCGCCCCAGTGATGTCTATTATGGTTACTGGGTGTTTTATAAAAATGTCTTGTATATAAAAATGCGTGAAATGCATCAAAAGGAAGTGCGAAAAGTGCAAGTGTTTTTTGCAAAAGAACTAAATGTCTTATACGAATTCACAAAATATGTATATCAAACGAAAGATGTTTAAAATACCTTTCGAACGTGGTGCCTTATTTTCTCAACGGTTAATTGATTTCGAAGATAATAACAGTTTTCGAATTTCAAAATTTCATCGCGCGATTTTTTATTCCAAATTTTCTTTTTCTAAATATTTTATATTATAAAAAATATCGACGCAGGCGTAAATATTTGCTTTTTAAATATTGTTTATTAAAAAATGCAAAAAATATTTACTATTATTATGTATTTTCCAAAGAAAAACATACATTTTTGTTAAAAAAATGGCCATAATTGAAATTTTTTTAGAGGTTGTTATTTAAAAAGCACATATTCAAACCTAACCTTATGTTGTGGAGGTCATTATGAAATATAAGTGGTTTATTTCACTGTCCCTAATTTTCGAACATGTGGTAGCACCCTTCTGCTCGGGTAATACAGCCATTTTGATTTGTTTGCTTGTTTACTTTGTTGAAGAAAAGTAGTGAAATGGTTAAACGCGTTTTATATTGTTAAAAAATAAA